CAGCTCGTCGGCACGGTTGCCGCCAACGGTCATGCCGGCCTTTTCAAAGACCTGGAACCATTCCTGGAACTCCTGCTCGGGAACTTCACGCATGGCAAGGCAAAGCGTTCGGAGACCTTCAGAAGCGTACTCTTCCAGGTGACGCAGGGTGGCTTCGACGTGGGGGTTCTGATCGTTCAGGCGCTCGAGAATGACCGTATCGGCACCTTTGCAGTATACGCGGACCTTTCCGTCGGGGCATCGATAAATAGTCGACATGCGCTTTCGGGTAGAGTTGAACTCGCAAACGGCCAAGAGCTCATACTCGAGCTCACGTCCTCCAGCTTCGATGAAGACAGACCTCGGCTTGCGATCGGTGAAGACGTAGCCGAGCTCAGCCGCGCCCTCGACGAGCGCACCCTCATCGGGTGAGGCGGCTTGATACTTGATTTTGCCGCCCTTTTCCTCGCTCCTCTCGGGAATGACTGTGTGACAAGTAGCCAGCAACGCCAGAAAATGATCAATCACGGGAGCCGTTTCGTGACTCTTGAGGTTCTCCGCCAATCTCTTATAATCGTGGATTCCGACCTCAACACCATCCTGAATTGTCGCCCTGAGGTCCTCGGGAACATCTTCGGCATATTGAATACCGCCAATCGAAGCCTGTTTGAATTCCATCATATTGCAAGTCAAGGTGCCCGTCTTGTCGGAGAAGACATATTCAACCATGCCCAGTTCTTCGACCAAACTCGATGTTCTGCAGTTTGCCGGCGTGTCCGTTCTATCATAGTAGATGTCAAGATCATCGTTGATGAGGATTCCGTGCCAGTACTTGACCATTTCCAGCGTGACGAACAGGGAGATGGGCACAAGGGAGGAGAACAAAACCCAGTATGTGACCATGTCCTTGAAGAAGGTCTTGATGATGTCGTTTGCTGATCCGGTAGAGTCAAGCTTCAGGTACTCGAGAGCTTGGCCCTCAACCTTGCGCTGAACAAGATCGCCTACTGTGCAAATGACGCTAAGCACAAGGAGGATGCCGACCAGCACGAGAACAAGAATGTTCAGCTTCTTCTCGACCTTTGTGCGCTTGATGGGTGCAGCAGTGGCGTTACGCATGAGCTTTGTCTCGTGCCCAGTGAAGACAACAACACCATGGATCCAGGGCGTATTACGAAGAGTGGCACCTCGAAGCAGAAGCTGCTCGGGGTTGAGGGGCAGCTCCTTTTCACCACCACCAGCCTGCATTGTCAGGGTAGCCTCATATGTGTACAGACTGCTGTTGGGCTGTTCGGACTTGATTCTTCCTCCGAGTCGGCTCAGATCGCTGGAGCTGACCATCGTACACGTCTCAGGTAACGCCTGCTTGATCTTCAAGTTTGTTTCTCCGTCGAGGTTGGCTGTTTCGATGTAGCAAAGTCCTTCGGGCTCGGAACTTGCAAGGAGGACCAGATCGGCAGGGAAGGGCTCTTCAGATTCGACGCGGATAATGTCTCCGACCGCAACATTGATCCACTTGGACTCCTGGAAGGCGGTTCCGCGCAGGATGCGGGCCTTGGACGTGTTCAACTGGTGATCGGCTTGTTTTCTTCGGTAGTCCTCCACCAGTTCCTTGCCTGCCGACACCATCATGACGATGAAGAGCGGAATGATGGTAGTGTATCTGTTGGTAGGCGAGAGGTTGGGGATTTGCTGCAGCGCAGCCGTGAACAAGAAGAAGATGTTGGCAAACTTTGAAAACTGTTCGAAGAGGAATTTCGGGAGGAAGGTTGCGACATTGTACTTGGCCGTCGAGATGTGGTTGTCGACGTACTTGTTCGCTGCGTTTGCGGGTGGGTTGTTGAGATGGATCAATCTGGGACCAAGTGTCGAAGGGTCCGGCTTCTTTCCTCCGAATCCAAACTTGAAGTTACCCATGTCGAACTTCTTGCCCCCCTTGGCTTGCGCATCGATGCCAGAGTCTGTCCGTCCGTTGCCGCCAGCCTCCGTCAAGGGCAAGTCCATCTCCGAGTAACCTTGGCCCATCCCAAGCTTATTTTTCATGCGGCCAAAGAAGCCTCCACCCAAACTCAGGACGCTGTTACGGTTCCGAGCATTGGACCTCGCGGAGGGGTCACCGACGTTGTTCGTACTCGTCGCGGCGCCGCCTTGTTGGTAGTACGATTCGCCTTCGGCCGAGTAGTCGTCAAAGTCGTCGGCGTATCGCTGGTAATTGTTCAGTTCTGATGTTTGACTGTAGTGTCTCTGCATGTATGGGCCGGATGATGCGCCGCCAGAGACACCAGGAGATTGAGGGCCTCCAGGTAACGGTCTCAGTGCTGAGGGTTGCTGTGTGTGATTCCCTCCCCCTCCTCCGCCGCCGCCGCCCACAAAGTCATCATACGAAACGGAGGGTCGGCCCTGGGCCTGGTCTTGATCGTGGTTGTAGGAGCGTAAAAGGTCGTCGTCGTTCATATTCGATCGCTGTCCGGCATTGTAGGTCGGTTGCTCGCTGTCCAAGTCTAGTAGTAGGTCGTTATTCGAGGGTCCTCCTGGAGGACCACCTGTAGGTCGTCCAGTCATGCCGGGAAGGCTGGTAGCGTTGCTGGGCGATCAATTTGCAAGTGTCAGAATGGCCAGCATGCGAATTTCGAGGTGATTGGATTATCGTCGTGTTTCCGGACACATGAAGGGAAAAAGCGATGCAGTCGAGAGGGTGTGGTCGCGGACGATTTGGCAGCCTAATCAGTGGATGATGGAGATTCGTATCGGCGGGAGCAGTGTAGCTAGAGGCGACGACGACGACAACGACAATCGGCAATGAAAGCGACGCCGCAGCTGGGCGTTTGCTGAGGGTAGCTGATGTGGTGGGAAAAAAGAAGTGGCCCAGCAGTCCGTATTTGTTGCAGCACAGCCTCTTTCTGGCGCAGGATTAGGATTACACAGTGGTCGGCTTGCGCTACGTCAACGGGCTGAGTGCGCAAGTGTACCGTAGGCAGTTGGTCCCCAGGCGAAGACGAGAGTAGGTACCTAGTGGCCGAAAGACGGTCCCCGGTGGCAGTGGCTCAGGAGGCAAGGCAACGCAGTCGCTATGATTAGCTTGCAACGGTCGAATAATTTCACAACAGGAGAGGGCGTCTTGGAGACTGTCGAGAGGCCAAGAAGTAAGGTGATGTGAGGTGTCGTCCGCGGAAAGGGTGGGATCTGCGGAAAGTCGTGTTTGAGGTATTGGTGGTGCTTGAATGGGGTTGAATTGGTGGGAACTCGGGAGACAGCGCAAGGGAGCCGGATGAGACTGGAAGCTAAACACGCAGCAGCAGCAGCAGCAAGTACTTAGCAGCAAGGCGTTAGACTGGGCGTAACTTGTAAGGTTGGTAGCGTGGGTTTTTCGGGGAGGCGCAGGGTAGCAGTAGCAGCGTCAAACAGTGCAGATTGAAGACACCAAACCTCAATGGACGGGACGGGGAAGGGTCGAAAGGGTCTCGTTGGCTTGAACCCAGGCGCCTTGCTTGCGGTACCAAGGTACTTGGCTGGCCTCTAACGTCTGCTCACAGCTGGCAGCTCCCTCAGGCAGATGCGACTGGTATCCTCGTTCTCCGTACTTTCCTGGGCTATTTTGCTGTGAGACTACAACTGGGCAATGGGATTGGGTGGACTTGGTTTTGGGACCGCAGCTCCACCAGACGGGGGCACGTGTGGGCCTGTTGCTATTCTGAATCCTTGAGAGGACGTTTGACTGGCTGGGCCTAGTGTTGGCTACATGTGCTGCATCTCTTCCTCCACGTCCTGATCCTCTCTCTGTCTCTGCCTCTCTTCGTACCGGATGCGAGACCACAAGCTGACAGCAGCAGCGAGAAGTTTAAAGAGCTGCGTCGGCCTCCAGCCACACACACCAACCTACGACGACAGGGCGAAGTTGGTGAATGTCGGCAGGAATGCCCGCTACGCCACTCTCGGTCAGTCAGCCTGCAGCCTGCCTGCGTTTTCCCCTCAACACTAGACACAGTCGCCAATCGAACCTTCAATCGAGACGTAAGGGGCGGACGGACGTCTCGCACGGAATCTCGGGACCCGTCACATTTAGCCTGCTCTGACACGAGCCAACTTCAGAGTCCGCCTCTGCTCAATGTTCGTACGGATAGGTAAGTCATAGGGCACAGAGTATCTGCATCTGTATGCCCGCTCAGACCCCAAGGGCCCCGACGACTGCCTAGCCAACGCCAGGACCAGCGTGTAAAATGGTCAATAGACCAATACACGAGGACAGACGATGGAGACAAAGCAGCAATGCCCAGGCTATTGAGCAAGGTTTGATCAGGGTAGGAGTTAAGCATCATCTCCCGTTCGATGACAGAACCTGTTTCCCCTTGGCCATGTACCTCTTCAGGGCCGTTTCCCCCCGATGATCTGTGATTAGCTGTGGAGTACGAATATGTTCTGTACGGATACTCTCGCTCATCCCAAGTGAACAGACGAAATTTGACCCAACCACGGCATATTCTTTCACCCCAGTAACCCCCGGCATTCTCCAAGATGCTGAAGAACTTGATCAAAATAAGATCCATTTTCAATTCCAAAAGTGGCTGGGGTCCCCGTATGCGTATGCGAGGAAACAACTCGACAACAAAGTGCCCCCTATTGTGGCTACCGCGTGTGCTGGGCCAACGGCCCCAGAGTCAGAGGTCCAGACAATCGAAACGTCCAATGTCATCGACTCATTCTCCAGGGCAGACATTCCAATTCTAGCCCGGCCCGGTGCTGGACCCACACGAATCTGAATAGACCCACCGGGGAAACTTCAGTCTTCAGCACCGACCAGCAAACTCGCCGCCCTGCGACGTTGCGTCACTTCCAGCTGCCGTCCTTTCCAGCCACATTTGTTATCATATCTTATCTCAGCCTTATCACTTGCGACACCAGCCCCTCGTCCCTCTCTGCCAGTCCCTCAACCACCATCAGAACAACCTTTAGTAATTGCGACTTCAACTCAACAACTCAATCGACGACAGACCTATTCACCGAATCTAAAACCATCCCCGAAAATGGTCTGCACAAAGTGCCAAAAGCTCGGCAAGGGCTCCACGACCCTCGCGACGCCCTCTGTCAAGAAGAAGAGCGAAATCTACCACGGCTCCTCCTCGTCCTCGTCTTCCTCCACCACCAAGTCCGCTACGCTGGGCACGACCGGCATCGGCAAGAGCAAGCTCCTCTCCAAAGCTGCCAAGAACCCTTACGCCCAGTACTCCAGCGCCTGCTCGAAGTGCAAGACAAAGGTCTCTCAGGGCCACTCCCTCTGCCAGTCGTGCGCCTACCGAGCCGACTCGTGCGCCTCGTGCGGGAAGCCGAACAAGAAGGCCAAAGGGGCTGCCCCGTCGATCGCGGGACAAAAGTTCACGTTGAAGTGAGACGGCGACAAATTAAAGACGAAACATAACATTGCAACAAACTACTGTTGTCGAAACACCCAAGACGATACCCTCGTGACGCGCACTCTTCATGCGGCCAGAAGCTGGGAGCCGATCAGCCTACAGGGGCCAGCAGCACCAACGGCAAGGCACGGCAATGAGGCCTATACTCTGCGCCATCGACCTCCATGCGATACGCGGCTCAATATGCGCCAGGTTAGAGACGGGATTCAACAGGCGGCAGGCCATCATGACAGTCTCGTAGTGGCCAGGAATACAAACCACGAGGGCCAAGCAAGACAGACAGTCCCACGACATCTGACATCACTCCTTCATCCCATCCAAGGTAACAACAGTCCTAGGTACAGATAGTTATAGCTGCAAAAATAGACCACAAGGGTCAATCAACGCACAAGCCTTGCTTGGTCAAATTCTGTAATTCATTCTACATTGGCCGTTCACTAATCGTTCCCGAAACCGTGGTTCATCCCTGCCTGTCATAAATATAACCGTTAACGTCAAATCCAACCACGCGCGGCCCCCTCCTTCGAGAGCCGCACTTCTTCTTTTTGGCTTTTCTTACAACGACGCCGTCGGCTTCTTGTCGACCTTGCTCTCGATCCACGCCTTGATCTGCTTATTCACCTCCTCGGGCGCCTCCCACAACGCCCAGTGCGTCGCCGTCACCTCGCCCCTCGACAGGTCCTCAAAGTGCTTGTCCATGCCCGCCGCCATGGCCGGCGGCAGCGCCGCGTCCTTTGTCGCCGAGATGAAGAGACTGGGCGGCGTCACCTTGTACGCCTCCCCGCTCTTCTCCGCCGCCTCCGCGAGCGGCAGCTCCTCGTCGTGGTTGATCTTGCGCGTGCGGTACCAGTTGGTCGGGCCGCGCATGCCCGACTTGCTAAAGTTGTCGGCGTAGTACGCAATCTCCTCCTCGGACAGCAGCGGCGTGGGGCCGATCTTGCCGATATTCTCCCAGATGATGCCCCTCTCCGTGTTGAAGACGAGCTCGCCCGCGGGGCCTTTACCGCCGTAGATGCCTTGCAGGAACTGACGGATGTCCTCGGGCTTGGTGAGCTTCTCGGGCACCTCTTCGCTGCGCAGCTGGAGCTGGTACTTGAAGTTGGTCAGGCGGCCCGCGGCGATGACGTCGGCGAGGTCGAACCAGGCCGTCGTGGGCGCGTTGTAGGGCGTGCAGACGCTGAAGACGCCCTTGATCAGGGACGGGTGCCACATGGCGAGGCGCCAGACGAGCGCTCCGCCCCAGTCGTGGCCGCCGAGGATGATCTGCTCGCCCGGGATGATGCTGTCGCAGAGCGCCTTGATGTCGTCCGACATGCTCTTGAGGGAAAAGGCCTCGAGCTCGGCCGGGGAGGCCGTCTGCCCATAGCCCAGGGTGTCCGGGACGATGACCTGGTATCCCTGGGCGAGGAACATGGGGATCTGGTAGCGCCAGCCGAGCGAGATGTCGGGGAAGCCGTGGATGAGGACGACGGAACCCTTGGGGGCGGCGTCGCCCTCGGGCTTGCTGAAGAGGTAGGAGTAGGTCTTGCCCCTGACCTCGGCCTGCTTGCGCTCGACGCGCGGGTCGTTGGGGGCGATCTTGTCGACGGCCATCGTTGGTGTGTGTATCCGTATACCGGTATGCAAGGCTTCCGTCTAGGGTGAAAACTGTTAGGGACCGTAGCGGGAGGCGGGAGGAGGGAAGGAGGGGCAGCTAGTAAATGGCGGGGTGCGCGGTAGTCTTATACTCACGTTGGCACTCGACGTCTGCCAAGGAACAGACCCTTGTTATTACAGCTCAGTGACTGATTGTAAGCTCCCTCACAATGCTATTGCGGGGATTGATGAAAGAGAAGGTGTGTATGCGTGTTTGTATGGGTGTGTGCAGCTTCACCGACACATATTTTACCAGACTTGTCGGAAAGATAAAACTACTTATATCATTCGAGGTATCGCCGAGTCGCCGAGTTATGGAGACAAGTATCGCACCTTGAAACTCGCCCGAATGCTTAGAAAGCTATAGAAACTGGCCACCTAGGAAAAACATACGAGCGGTGTAAATCGAGCCTCGGCATAGCTTGTCCCATTGTCGGGCTCTACCTCAATGCAGTACTTCGCACACAGGATAACATCGACCTGTTTGCACCAAGCTCTGGGTCCAGCGTATGGGTCGCAAGGTGAGGGGCATGGCTTGAATTGACAGGGGACCTGACGTGCGGCGAGCGGCGGCATTGGCGAACGGCGTGGCCGGGCATCCACCCGCGCGGGGCATCGCCTTTGCTGTCCATCGGAGTCCCTTGATGGAATCGTCCTAGCGGGCCCCGTCCGTGCTGTTGCGATGCCTCGGTCCAGGGACAACTTGAGACAAGGGGACTCGCCATTGTCGGACGGTACTCAAAACGGGGTTTCGCCATTGTCATCTTCAATATATGGTTCAGAGCCGGAGATCGCATTGTCTTTACCCGAAAAGCGTAAATTGCAAGTCTAGACGGGGGCCAACGATTCTTCAACGGCAAGGAACAGCTATTCTAGACTAAAAGGTCCCACCAAGCTAAAGCAGGAGAACGTCACTGGTCTTGCGCTTGAGTCAGAGAGCATGGCTCGACGTATGTAGTAAGCCTTTCAGCCGGCGAACAAAGTTGGTCTGAATCCCGTTTCTGGACCCAAGCTTCTTTTTTTCAAATATCACCATGGGCACCTTTCCCAAATAAACGCCACTTTGAACTCCAATTGGTATCATAAAAACCCCCAACTCCGCCTTCAAACTCGCGCGCAAAGCCAGGGAAAATAGCATGCCTCCCATATCGCCTAATGTTATAACAATCACATAAACTACCGCGGTTATGGCGTCTTTTACAATGAAACGCCGAGGAAGAAAAGATGGGAAAACACCACTCGCTTTTGTCAGGCATTAGTAGATAACCATATCCTCGTCGTTTTCAACGACATCACCAGGTTCGTCGTGTGTGTCCCGCTCATGTCTGTCTCTGTCGGAAGACGCAGCTGTGTGGTCGGTAGCTGCGGGAGCATCAGCAGAAACCTCTGGCGGAGCCTCTGCTGGTTGTTCTTCTGTGACCATTGGCACAAGCTCCTCCTGGGCCGTGGTCGGCGGCCTGGCACGGCCGTGGCGTCTCTCGTGTTCTTCCTTCCGATCTTTGAACGCTTCGAGTTCTCTCGCGATGGTGTTCTTAGCGTCTTGCACCTGGTCGTCAATCTCGTCTTCTTGTTCTTTGGTAAGCTTCCACGGTCGATAGTACTGCAACACGTCAGCTTATGGTTTCCCCCCTTACGCAACATGCAATACGCACAATTGACGGGCCTGCTTTCGTCCGGAGGGATTGTGCCTTTGCAAGCATGTTGGCATGTCGGGTTTTCATCTGCCATAAAGAAAAGCTTATAAGCACTTGAATGAGGCCATCAAGGGGAGGAGAGGGGCAAGCACGTACGACTTTCTCGTCAAACAAGATTTGCTCCTTCCACCGCGCCTCGGTGATCCGCGCGAGCTTCTCTGTCCGTCTCTTTTCGTCTTCTGCCCTCTGCTTCTGCGCCTTCTCCTGCTGTCGCTGCTCAATCTCCCTCCTCTTCTTGTGCTGCGAGCTGGAGTTGGTCTGGCTGAGGGTGCTCAGAAGACCTCCAAACAGACGCTTACCCCGCTTCTTCTCTTCATCCCTTGATAAAGGCGCTCGTCGAGCGGTGGCTCGGGAATCTTCGTCGCGCGGCCTCGAGTCCTGTGTCGAATCCTGTGTAGGTGGGTCGCCGTGATCGCCATCATCGAATTTTGCCCTTTTTGATGATTCTTCCGCCCCATCAAGGGAGTCTATAGACGCTTTCCGTTTTTGTGTAACCTCCATCTCAGAGCTCGCGGATTCGGGGTTGATGGTATCAGCAGGTGCCCTGGAATCTGTAAGCTTCTCTTGCTCGGTCCGAAGGGAGCCGGTTTTGTTGTACTCTGTAACAGTGGCCATGATGATGTCGCTTCCCACCGTCGCAGTCGCAGTCTGCTCGGCGAAAATCTCAAAAAAGACCGATCGCGAAGGAATGCGGTGTGCACGAAGGGAATTGAATGCGCCTCGATCCCATGGGAGGTATCGCGGAGCTTGACAGCTCCAACCCGAGCTCCAAGGCTGAGGTTTGTCAGCGGGGTCCAGCCACTCGGAGGGACGAACCCACAGACTACCCCACTTTGGTCGGATCAGACGAGGGTCCGCACCAATGACCGAAAGAGAACCGAGAGGAAGAAGTGGCGAGGCTGACAGGCGCAGACGTCTTTTCTTCAAAGGTTCCTGGTGAAGAGAGGGTACGATAAGCTGCGACTTGCGACCATCACCTCCCGCGACCCGCAAGACAGCTTCCACCAAACCTCACCACCCAGAGGCGCTTCTCTCACATATTGACCATCATGTCGCGCCATCACCCGTAGGCCATCTCCCAGTCAAACCCCTCAAAATTCATGCACAAGCTAACAACTCCCGCCAGCGATCTCGTAATGTGCCGCAAGCAAGCTGGCATCGCCATCGGCCGCCTCTGCGACAAGTGCGACGGCAAGTGCCCCGTCTGCGACTCCTACGTCCGCCCCACGACCCTCGTCCGCATCTGCGACGAGTGCTCGTTCGGAAACTACCAGAACAAGTGCGTCGTCTGCGGCGGCGAGGGCATCTCGGACGCCTTTTACTGCTTCGAGTGCACGCGCCTCGAAAAGGACCGCGACGGGTGCCCCAAGATTATAAACCTCGGCAGCTCCAGGACCGACCTGTTCTACCAGAAGAAAACCAATCGGACGGCGACGTACTAGTCCCTGCGTCGCCTGGGATATGGGCAAATTTGATGTGTTGTTTGAATGCGAGGAGACAGAGGAGACTACAAAGTTTTCGTGGGACAGGTATCGCATTGCCTGCGGCGTTTGATGTGTTTTGGTTCACAGCTATGGGACAAGGGTTTTGCGGCATAATTGGCACTAAGTCAGACATGATAATTTTTTTTAAGCGGCATGAAACGGTTTCACCAAACAAAGGAAATGCTTCATTTTGCATGAGTATCAAAAAGAATGGCCAAACAATTAGGCCAATGTTCATCCAAGTTCGTATAGTACAGTGAGGTCAAAGCTAGCCAAGTACCCGCGTCGTAATCATATGTAGCTAACCTTGACTCCCATTCCCGCGGTCGCCTTGACCTTGTTCCAACCATTACCAAGCACTCGCTGTATCCGTTCGCGGACGTTCTTCTGCCCAAACATGACGACCAACCCCAAAATAAAGGCCACGAGCCGCATCAGCAGCATCGGGTTCGTCTTAAATGATGCTCCCAGCTGGTCAATCACCTCGCGCATCCGAGAGATGACCATTGACGCCCTCGTTCCAAAGGTCGGCGGAGCTGAAGATTTCCCTTTTGCCCTAGAGACGGGCATCTTCGAATTAGAGTTGGACCCTGATGTGTTGGAAACGGCCCTGGCGTGACGTCCCTTGCTTGACCCCGCCTTACTCGAGCCTGCTTTACTCGGTGTCTTTTCGATGCCGTAGTCCCCTTCGGCGCCTTCTCTTCGTGCCCTCTCTTCCTCTAATCTCCGTCGTTCCCTCTCTTCATTCTCGGCTCTCAACTTCTTCGCCTCCTCAATATCACGCCGAAGCTGTTCTTCCTGCTCGCGTCGCTCTTCCGTCTCTCGCCTCTCGGCTTCCTGCTGTTCCTCCTGCAGGCTTTGCAGAGCTTGCAAAAACGCCTCGCGGCGCTCATCGTCTAGTACCGAGCTGACGCTGATAAACTCTCGGGCATAATCCCACTCATTATTGCGGATAAGTACGTGGAGCGTGTACAGCTCGAGGATCTTGACCCTAGCATTCAGATCCCTCGGTGTATCCGCTCCGCTGGTGGCCTTCGCCGGAGACCTATGCCGGTTCAGCCGTGGTGACGGCGACGGCGAGTCGGAAAATCTCTTGGAGAAGTCCAGATTTGGTGATGTGGCGGCTGCGAGATAGCTCTCGAGCTTCCTTTGGTTCAATTCTTGTGTCCGGGCGTGGGCTAGTAAAAGTGTTGCGCTATGTTGTTGTTAGTGTTTGTTTGCAACAGGAAAAAAACAACGACAGAGAGGGCATCTTACAGATTAATGACAACGTCCGAATCGACGTCGCTCTCGACGCCGTGGTATCCGTTGCGTACGACCTCCTCCCAAATGTCTCCTTCCCTGACTTTGGTGCACAGCGCTCTCCACTCTTGGCTCCCAAACGCATCCTTCCCTTCGTCTGGCTCCAGTTCGACGATGGCGTTGAGCGTCGTCAGGTACAAGCTCCAGACCTTGATCCTCGTGGATCGCGATGCCCTGGCGACGGGCGCTGGTTCGCCTGCGCCGTTCTCCGACTGTCCCGAGGGCGGGGTGATCAATGGCAAGATGGTGGATAGTGCCTCGGGTAGACGGCGGGTGAGGAAGAGAGTCGAAGCCTGGCGGTAGGTCTTTGAGATTTGCGAGGTATGGCGCGCTGAGGTCGATGAGGATAGAGACGAGATGGAGCTCGCGAGCATATGTGGTGGGAATGTAGCGGTGGTCTCGGAAGAAGCGACCGTGGGACTCAAGGTCGCCGTGTAGGAGCCATTGAGGGACGACATGTTGGCGGGCATTTAGGAACGGGAGGCAACAGCAGCAAGCAACGGGGTCAATTTGTCGGCATTGAAGAGCCCCAGGCGGAGGGAAATGAGGGAAAAAAGAACGGGGACTATTGTTATGTATCTGGAGTGCGGAGAATGGCGGCCATCATACGCGTTCCTGCTCAAATGCCACCTGCGGGTTGTGAAGAGAGCCGCGACATGTGGATGTGGTTAGATTCGGGTTCCTGGGCGTTATGGTGGTGGTGTGTGGTGTGTGGTAGTGGTGGTGCTGAGGTAGCTGGGGGTTGCTGGAGAATGGAATTGGAGTCTGCTGACAGACAAACATGCCGATTACCGCAGCACCTGCACAGCTGCCCGGGACAGGCACGCACCGGCACGGTTACACTTTTCGGCCATGGCCCAAGTTTAGCCTCGGTTTGTTTCTTAGTGGGTTCCCCCCCAGCTTCTGCGTTGCTGCGTTGTATGCTGCCACTGGGGTGGCTGGCCAGCTGACCGCCAGAGCATGAGGGGAGGGGAGCGATAAGCGAGTACCAGTGACGTTGTCGCTGGACGGCTCACATGTCAAGTACCTCTTTAGCCTCCACGAGCGCGGCCTTCTCCCGGCGTCCGGCCTTCTTGAACTTCTCATTGGGTGGAGTTTCCTGATCGGGGAGGACGCTGTGCCTGGGTCGGAGAAACAGGGGTTGCCCTCGACGACCGGCCGAGCTTTCATCTCACCTCCCGGAGATCACCAACCATTTAGAGACGATCGTCTCATGCTCGCTGCGGCCTGTCATTTCAAATCTTCGTGTTATATTCAACCCGCCAAGTCGGGATTCCCTTCTCAATTACTGCTTTGCTTAGTTGCGTCTATTATGATATCCTATTAATTACCCCTCTCAACTGTCAATCGCAAGTTTGCGCGAACGCGTTCAGGGTTTAGACTTTTCTGGCCCCCCTGTGCTTCCCCAGATTGTTCCGAGGCATCTCGCGGGACGCAGAACCACGCGGCTCCCGGAGAGAATGTCATCGCCATTTAGCCCCTGATGCTTACATCGGTGCATTTCCTATTGTAGTCATCGAGTGACCATCCACCTCTCATGACTGGCACTAAAGTGTCGTTGGGGTGCTCGGTACACGTGGAATTTTCTTCGTCGCGGGGTTCTAGAACCGGATCATCTTACGTCCTAGGAATCGCTGAGCAGCTGGAACATATAAGGCTCATAAGCTGATGGGAAGGAGTGGCCCTGACCAACATGTCAAATAATCTGACGAATGCCGACGTGCTCTTATTGTGCTTTCAATCAAGTATGGATAGGCTCATCTATCGAAACATAGTTTTGCGGGGCGTCTCCAGAAATCCACCAAGGGTCATCCGTCCTCAACGACATTGCAAAAATCCATTGTCCTACTCACAAACGCGTCTCCCTACTCATGAGACCAGTGCCACCACCAACAACCCAAGACGCGATTTCGCGTTGGCACAGTCGGCAAACTCTTCAATCGAAGGGCAATTACGCTCCGTCGCAAGCTCAACTTTGAACTCACCATTCGGGCCCGATATTAAATGTCTTGCGGGGGGCGATCCGAATTCGGTCGCGAATGTCGTCGAATATGGCCATCTGCCACCGAATCCGACCCACGTACCCTTCCTGGGTGTTGGACTCTCTCCATGTGCCAATGTCCGAGTCTTGCGAATAGCCCAGGAATTGTGAATCGTATCCAACTGCTGATAGCCATTCTCTGTCATACAATCTCCATTCTTTGCTCTCGTATGACGCGGCTCGGCCCTCGAGCCTAGCCGATTCCTCGCGGGCGAGTTTGTGGGCAATTCGCAGAAACACAACTGCCGTCATGTGGCCTATCTTCATTAGTCGAGCCACTCACGGTTCTGCTTGTTCTGCCAACTCACTATCGAAGCCAGCCTGATGGGCTGTTCCACGACGGCCATAGCCATAAGCTGCATCCCAATGGATGCTTGGCTGCGTTCTGTTGCCATCGAACCTATTGTATAGATCCATCAATGGGTCTTCGCCCTCGATCGTGTCGTCCTTAATGGCCAACAGCTTCGTGTCCACGATGCGTGGGAACAATTCGTGAATATTTACCAAAAACTCCAAAAAGCTGTCGGGGAGGTCGTCGATGAAGGTGTTGTAAAGGAACAAAAGGTCCATGAATTGGTTGTGTCCGATAATGGTTGGCGAAGACGTTCGGCCTAAAGTTTCTAGCTCCTGAAGAGCATCTGCTACTTCATTCTTGAGTGTTTCCGTGGATAAATCCTCGAGATCGTGACACAGTTTGTCCCAACCAGTCGGCTCATCCCAGCCGGCTGTCTCAGCTGTGATATGCCAAGTACCAGTGTCGCCCTCCCGAAACTCGCCACCTGCCACTCCCTCCGAACTGCTTGAGGATTCTCCATCGTGGCTCGCCGAATGAGCTCCTTGAATATGTGTGGCCTGTGGAGGGATGTCATGGTGAGGGGAAGAGTTGATCCCAGGCCGGCTGCTGCCAAGATCGGGGTAGCAACGTTCGCAATGAACATCATACACCAAGGGCATCAGCTCATTATCTCCAACTCGGCTTCTGGACAAGTTCCGCTTCTTCATACAGAGGCACTCGTCTTTGCTGATCAAGTTTGTTTGAAATGCCACTTCGACGTCCTGACCTGAGGACGTGCTAGAGCAGCCTGTGTCAGGGTCGTGATGTGTGCAACACCAGGAGCAATAGCGATCCTCGACTTCTTCCTCTGGAGATTCTTCCCACTGTTCTGGTGCCGCGGGATGAACAAGCTCATGCACCTCACGACAAAAGCATTGTGCTTCGCCAGGCCAGCCAGACATGGCTTCGACAATGAGGTCGGGGTTAATGAGGTTGGCAAACTTGCCGCCGACAAGGGCTTCGATAATCAGGCGAATTCCTCATATCAGTCAGCCACCAGTAAAGCATTGCACACTGAGGGGAGCCCACCTGCGTACTTCCTCAACGATGCGTTGAGATCGTCCTCTAGAGACTCACGCCTCTTGGTGAAGTCAGCTGTCAGTGTTCTCATCACAGTTATCCGCGCCGCTGTAAACGAACCTTGGCTTCTTGTCCATCGTCCCGCTGAGAGATAACCACGGTCGTGCCATGATTCCAAAGACGGCAAACCATTCGTGGCACAAGCTTTCGGGCCTTTCTACAAACGATCTGTTCGTAGACGCTCATACGTTTCTTACTATCAGAGTTGGGTAAGAGGACATTGATCTCTAGAGTTCGCTGTCCCATGTCGCGATTAGTATACTCAGTAGAAAGTAACGAGATTCTAAGAGGAAGGGATTTTTGTAGATAGAGGATAAAGGAACCAGTGCCACATACCATCCATGGATCGGTGTAAAGCCAATTCACAGTCGTGTTATGGGCATAAATGGAAAAAATAGTCAGACCTTCGTCGTCCTCGTTGTATCCATGATCTTTGGCGTCCCAAGGATCTTGTCGGCGCTGCATCTGTCGAACTGCCAAGCGTGCCTCTTCGCGGCTGAGGTACGGAACGCAGTCCTCATAGACCTTCTCCAGCCGGATGCCTTCCGATCGAAGAAACTTGAGAGTGTTGTATGATACAGAAAGGCTCCTATCCAAGCCTTTGACGAACTTTTCATCAGCTCGCGTTTCTGTGTGCAGGTAGGGGCTGACAGTGAAACTATAGGTCTCGGTTTTGTATGAGCCGTCTGGAATTTTGTCAGAACGCGACGGATGATATTCTTCGGACGTGGAGAACACAAACCTGACTGGCTTTGGATACACGTCATCCCCATCTCAAAGACGTTGAACTTGGATGCAATCTTCTTGGCCGATTCATAGATTTGCTGGTTGGTTGGGTTTTCTGAGTGGTCTGCCGAGCTCTTGTCCGTGATGCCGGTCATCTCGAGATCGATGGCAACGAAGTCGGACTTCGCGATGGACAGCAGAATATTCGGCAGCTGCCGCCAGAAGTTCTCTGACGAGACTTCCATGCTGGGCGTCGAGGTGTTGTCAAGCTTTTGGCCGCCAGTCGTCAGTAGTTGAGAAGGAAAGGTAGGAGGTAAGGTAGAAGGAAAGGTTGAAGGAAAGCGGCAAGAAAAGTGGGAGTGGTATAAGGGGAAGAAAAAGAGGCAGGAAGGAAGCTGTGGGTGGAGGGAAACAAAAGAAAAATGAGAAGCCACCAAGAGGAGACGAATTCAGGAAGGAGCACCTCGTGACAGCAATGAACAGGCAAGAGCACTCGACTTCTGTGGCAAGGCAGGTCGTTCTTCGGAGGTTTTGCTTGCGTATTCCTGTCCGGCTTGTAAATGAAAAGGGAACATCAACCCTTCAGTAGCCAACAGCGTCCTTAGGCAGAAGGAAGGAAATTGCAGAGTTTTGAGACTGGCCATCGCAAAATCGAGTTTCCTCGTAATAAAGCATTATACGAAATCATTGTGTCGTTTTAAGGCCACAGGTTGCCCGAGGTAGTAAAGAATAATCTAAAAGCCAGTAAACACGACTTATCACGCCCAGCGTGAGGCAATGGAAATTTTTTAAAAAAAGATTGAGAAAGTCAAAAAGTTCAACTCTTATCCTTGCGGACAGCGGAATCTATGAAAACCCCGAGACTCTTACCAGCCTCAGGTGTAACGATGGAGGTTTTCTAACGGCGGCGGGATTCGAACCCACGCACCCGCGACGCAAGGGGACGCTCCTCGTCAAAGGAACGCCTCTCTGATCCCATTGCGCCGCGGACTGTTGAAGAAATGCAGAAGAGTTTAGACATGTAAGGGTAGGCCAGGCGGTTAGGAGGTCCGGAGGGAAGGCAGCCATGGGATGAATGAAGAGGTGGGGCTGAGGCTTGTGGCTGGACGTGGGAGGTGAAGTCCACGAGAGGGAGGAAGGCGCGGTGTAAGATAGGAGAGGGTGGGCTTGGGAAACGCTGTTATGGGTTTGTCTTTGCGGCCTCACCTCTAGAGATTACTGTTTGTGGTTATACGAGGTAGTTGGACACCATATCAAATTGGTATAAGCAATCTTGCTTTACGTGAGAAAGCATAATACGTGTCAAAACTGGAACTGCGAAGATGAAGTAGATGGAATTGTGTTTCTCTACATATCTACTTGAAATCCCTTGGCATGGATGGCTTTATGAATAATGGTAACATATGCGGGCATGTAAAGACCCAATGTTTCAGCAACTTGACAAGCTATGTGATATCTCGAATGACGCTCATTATTGCTGGTAGATTTATCTACTCTTGAATAGCGGTAAGACCAGCAAGTATACGTCTACGTCTTCGAAGCACTCAAAGACGGTAGATTCAATGCCCTCAAGTTGATGGAGGATGACATGGTATCTCGTAGGCAACAGGCCATGTTCGCATGCTTTTAAGGCAAAACCATCTCGAACTGGCGACGGTTCTATAGTCTGGGGAGCAGAGTTAGATCAGAATGAGCATCTCACACCCAAGCCAAGCCCAAGGTCGAAAGCACAACCCAGCACGATCAGGCCCTGGCCAGGCAGACACGAACATCCAGTGAAATATTTGATTGTACAAGTTTATCTATGATACAACAGCGTTACACATCCTCTCAATCATTCCCCGACAACCACTGGTCCGCCCCCCCCCCCCCATTTTCACCACTTGAGTTCAAGTTTTACACATGGCGCCGACCGGTCCAAACCAATATGGAGGCATACGTTTACCGGTCCACCATCATGCCCCGCACATTGTTGTAGTAACCCGGCTCCAGCACCTCGGCGAGCTCCTCCTTGGTCAGCCACTTGAACTCCTTGTACCCAAACTTGTTGGCCGTCAGGTCCGCCTGTCCCGCCATGATGCGGCCCTTGAGGAAGAAGGTCTTGCTGCCGCGCTCAAAGAGCTCGCCGCGCCTGACCTGCGTCTTGGCCACGTGCACGGCGGCCGGGCCGCGGCCGACCATCCACGTGTTCATGTTGACGCCCGCCGTGTCGTCGAGGATTCTCTGCGCGGCCTGTAAAGAACGTTAGCATATATCGATATCGAAGCATGGGAAGGGGAGAGAGAGGGGGTCGATATGGGTTGGATAAAAAAACTCACCTCGTGAAGGTTCTCCTCCGTAGACAATCCCGCCGCAGGAAACTCCCAGACATCCTTCTTGCGACCGGCCTTCCTGACGACAAGATACAGCGTCCTCTCCATGGCGCGATCCAACCTCGTCTGGTCCCCCTTGATATCCGCCTCCGACACCCGCGGCGCCAACGCCTCGGGCGGCGCCCGGTCCTCCTCGGGGATAATCTCCGCGTCGTCGCTCACGCGCATCACGGCGTCCTGGAGCAGCAGCTCCACCGCCTTGTCGTGCTTGCTCAACCCGTCGCCGACGGCCAGCTCGTCGTCCCACGCCGTCGACGCCTTCCCGTTGTACACGCCCAGCTCCTTGGCCACGGTGCCCTTGCGGTCCTTGACCTTCATATTCCAGTCAATCAGCGCCGGCGTGTCGGGCTTGAAGTAGACGGACGTGATGAAGGGCATCGTAAGGCGCTCGTTGAGGCGCTTCTGGTAGAAGAAGTAGGACTGCTCAAAGTCCGTCAGGGGCCGCGTCAGGAGCGGCGCCCGCGTGAGGATCACGCCTGCGCGGATCAAGGGTGGCGGGATCGTAATGTCCGCCGCAGCCGCCTTGGGTTCGTTTGGTTTGCTGACTTTTGACGAAGGGGGAGGAGGAGGGGGAGCGTTGGTCGTGGTCGTGGTCGTTGCGGCGGCAGCGGCACCCGAGTACGCTCGCGAGGGAGCTGGAGCTCTAATCTGGACCCTCGCGCATTGTCTGCAGACTCTGGGGGTTGCTGTAAGGGGGACTCAAAGTCAGCCAATGATCTCAATGTTCATCCGAAACGTAAACATACATTGTATGCGCCCGAGGGCGGCGAATGCGCCTCTGCTGGAAGCTGTCATCATGAAAAGCGCTGGGTGTACGGGGTCTCCTCCTTGACACCTCAGTCGAGAATCTCCAGATGGGAATTGAACTTTTTTGCTGGTCAAGCTTAGCAGAGGTACGTACCGAATGGCCGGGGCGGCGCTTACCTAAGGTCAGACGTCCGACGAGGTGCACCGTGCACGGATGCAGCACAAGGTAAATCTTGAGGTGCCTCATATTGTATGTACCTGAAAAGCAAGGTCGATCTTGACAGGCGTCCGGGTCAATATCGCGCCTGACAAGCGCGGGTCTCAATCACGTAAGCAGAGGTACCGTAGCGGGGGCTGAGGTGGGTGGGACCGCGCATAGCCTTTATCAACCCGACGTCCTGCCGCGAAACTTCTTTCTCTTGCTTCTTTTTTCTCTTCACGGCACCATTTCCTTATCGTCAAGACCTGTTCCGCCTCCAGAACGTCCTGATCATTTATTCCGGTGCCCAGAGTAAATCGCAGTCTTTTTTCGCTAACAGCACCTGCACTCTTAACTGGGTTCATGTTAGATAGCTACTGCAAACACATCAGCGCCTTTGACCGCTGTTTAAGAATGATTGGCTTCTGCTACCGCATCAGCAGAGTCCGGAGTGGACTCTCGCTATGTGGCAAGCAATGCGTCGCGACAACCGCAGACGTGAATTCTCTGCTCCACACGTCACTTGGTGCTGCTGACTGTGCCGCCGCAATTATAGCTCGAGCGTGTTCACGAGTGCTGGTGCTTCTTAATGAGAGTCGTAATATCCATTCGTCGTGTCGTCGTCGTCTATCTACCCGCTAAAGTACAGAAAGCCTTTCCAGCCTAATCTTGGGTCACGCCCTTCACAGAGTCTCTTTCCAAGAGATCCGAGCGATTCGAGCTACTACAAGACTCCACCCCTAAGATACAGCTGTGCCTCTCCCCCGCCCAATCCCAGAGACACGGGGAATTCAAAGTTGAAATTTTGCAAAACAAGAAGCCTCCTTTGGAATGGAGTGTTTGGGTATTAGACCGCTTGGTTCGCTGCCAAACACCAATAACGCCTAATGCCCGATACCGTTCGTTCGTTTATGCTGCCGAGCGCCGATCAAGCCTTGAGTTCCTCAATCGCACGGGCCACCTCTTTGGTAGCGATCTTTTCGCAAGTCTTTTTGGCATCATCGTCCAGCGTCTGCGGATCGCGAAGGCCCTCGTACAGCTTGCGGGAGACATCTCGATTGATGTTTGCATATTGATCGGTGGTGAGCTCCTTCGCGCGCCAATGGGGCTTGAGGGCAGCCCGGACGATGCCGCTGATCCTTTCCTTGGTCTCAAAGGGGATGGCGGATCGCGTAGGCGACGAATCCTGAGACCGAGCAAAGGTCGGTCGTTGACGGTTCGGTCGCTGTGGGCGAGGCTGGCGAATTTCCGCGCCGTTCGATCGACTGTCAGAGTCACTACTGTCCCCAGCGTTTCGAGTCGGCGAGTAGTTGGCTTTGGGGAACCGTGGTTCCACATAGGAGCTTAGGGATAGCGTAGGTGAGCTGGGCCGGGGATGGGGTGGCGGGGTGAGAGAAAGCGCCCGCGGTGAGTTTCGTGATGATGGCGAGGGGGATGTGACTGGCGAAGAGGGGTCAACACCAGAGTGAGTACCGAAATAATTCCGCACAGTCTCGTCGTCGGAAGGTGCGCTCATCTCCACCTCCTTAAGCAGCGACGATAGGAATGATGGTCCGGGTTCCGTATTGATGGGAGACTGGACGCGCTGCGTGGCACCGTTCGTCTGAGGCCGCGATGTCAGAACACTCGTCGGCGCGGGTGACGAAGTTATCGTAGGTGCGGGGGCGAGTGCCGACACAATGGTAGGGCCGACGCCTGAAGCGGTGCCAGATCCAGATCCAGATGCAGATCCCGACACTGAAGCCGAGGCAGAGCCCGATCCGGAGCCTTCTCCCTGCAAAGGCAATCGGCGTGTGCGAGGTCGCTTCAGCTTGCGCTCGGGTTCCTGAGCGGGTTCTTGGGGAGAAGCCGTGGTAGATCTCGACTTTCTCTTGCGGGGATTGGGAGCGCTCGTCTCGGCTTCGCGAGCCCTCTCGAGGGCGCCCCAAGCCTGCTGCTCCTCTCTCGTCTCGGGAGCCGGCGGGAGGGGTTGCATGACGGGTTCGACTGGGCCACCGTCGAGGCGATGACCGACGGTTGGGCGAATATTCCTCGCAAAGATGTCTCTGGCGCCTAGACGACTGGCGATGCTCATGCGCTGCTCCCAGTCTTGGTGTTCTTGGATTTCGCGAAAGTGTCCTCTCTGGGCCTGGGCGCGGCGAAAGCCCTGAAATAAGTCTTCGTCTTCGTGGTTGTCGAGGTCGATGTCAGTAGCATCGTAAATGCGACTAGCAATCCGGTCCCATGCACCCTGCCACTCGAGGGATCTTGCCTCGCGTCGTGCATTTCTAGCTTGCAACTGGGTTCGCAACAAGCCTCTTTGAGCGGTAACGTTTCGTCGGTTTGCTGAGCGTGCAGCTGGGTTCAAAGGCCGTGACTGGATCACTTCGACATCCGAAGCCTCACTAGGGCTGGATCGGCTGGCATTGTTGTTTTCATCACACTCAAAGCAGTACCAGGACTCGGTCTGGGGAACACCAGACAGGCCGATGCAGTGTGTATGATAGGCTGCGTTGCAACCATCGCAGAGGAGCAGCACCTCTTCATGATCCGAGGACTCGCATATGGGACAGGCAGGGCTCGGCTCCTCGCCTTCGCCCTCGGGGTTCTCCTGAAGCCATCTGTGGATATCAAACTCCTGCTCTTGCTTCTTGTCTTGAACAGCGTACGAATCGATAGGGGGGCCTGTTATTGTCACCAAGGTTAGTTTCTTGTTGCTAAAGCTACTGCTGCTGCTGCTGCTGCTACTGCGAGCGTCTATTGCGAGGCGGGATGATTTGATACGTACCGTTGAGCTCAGATGAGAGGCTGACCTCATTGAAGGGTGTACGGCAGATGGGGCAAGTATTGGAGTTCTTGGCCCAACTTCTGATGCACTGATCGTGGACAACGTGATTGCAGCCAACGAGGGTAGCAATGTAATTTGACTCTGGTTCTTCTAGTATTACGAGATCTGAGTCGATGGTACGGTATGTTGGCTGTACTGTTGTGGTGGTGGCTGCTGCTGTTGCTTTTGCAGCCGCTGGGCCCGCTACGTTTCCAGCAGCAACGTCTTGCTGCTGTTGCTGTTGCTGCAACGAGGGGTGCTGCAGCGACTCCAGGCATATGATGCACTGATCCGGTTCAGTCATTGTGGCAACTGTGGTAGTATCGCTTGAGGTTTGATGAATTCATAAAAAAACGTCTTTGAGCAGGGCCAACAGATGGCTTTGAGATTGCAGGAATATGTGCGTGGATATTGTTATTGTAGCCGTGATTGTGTGAACTTGTTTATGGGCTTTATTGCCTTGTTGTGTCGGTCGTGGGGTGGCAGATGGTAGGTAGAGGGGGGAAAAAAAGAGAGGTGCCGAGTTGTTCAGTGTCTGGTGGTGGTAGTGGCAGGCCTGAGGTGGGAGTGTTGAGGCGACTGAACGGCTGTCGGGTCGCTATCAGTCGAGTGCACAAACGCACGACCAACTCGGCAGGTTGCTGAAGAGTGGGAAGGGTGCCAAGGGGGGCACTTTGGGGGTTGGAGGGGGAAAGTGGAAGGTGGCCCAGGTTTGGTAGGTGAGTTCGATATGTCCTGCGTTTCTGGCGCGAGATGGACTGTCAGCCGGTTCGGGGGATGTTTCGCCGCTGCGCTAGGCAGGGAAACCAAGCAGCAAAAAAAGACGAGTAAGATATACGATGAAATAAAGTGGCCGGTGTGGAGAGAAGAGGGGGGCTTCAAACTTTGGCTGGCAGTGCTTTTCTGGTGAGGCGAGACAAGTAGGAAGAGTGAAAAGGGAGAGAAAAGGATCTGGTATGGTCGCCTTTCTTTCAAAGTGCGGATGAGGTATGTTCGTGGGTGAGGTGCCCACTGGTGGACGGGGGGCGGTATGGGAGTCTTGGGAAAGGTGGTAGGTAGGTAAAATGGCGGTGCTGGGCTACCCGAGAAGACCTTGGGACCTGGAGAACTGAACGGGAATTGTAAGAGGAAAGGTTTGGAGAGGCCAGGACCCCCAAGGCGGGTTTTTTGCGAGCTTAGCGCACGCCTGTAGCTGGTCTTGACTGGAGCCAATCAACAACCGGCTGATGCAGTGGTGCGCCACGCTCCTTGCACCTTGGTCCTTCGTCCTTTGCACCTCACCCTTCGCGGGCTTCCCAGTCGATGACCCACTGGGCTGGACAGTGGACAGGGACCTCATGGAACTGCATCCCATGCCTCCACCAGCAACGGCAGCACCCTCACAGTCACACTCTGTTACTCACACACACACACACACCTGTGGACACAAACGTGCATCTAGACGCATGCTCGAAGCAGGTCGACGCACTGAGACGGACCAGACTAGCCCACTAGGGTCGCTGCAAGCCTGCAAGAGCACGTACTCTCCATGGATCGATGCAGGAGCCGGAGCATCAACACCAGCCCGGAGGCAACATCTCACTTCACGGACATCCCACGCCGAGGAAACGCTCAAAAACACCCTCGGGAAATAAGATGGCCTGTTGAGGGATGATGTTGACTGCTGCAGTAACAACTCCTCCTACTCGGCAACGTTGTCATCTAGAGGTGTAGGCACGTAACTAGGTACGTATGGGGACACCTCTGGCGGGAAGAAAATAAAGAAAACGATTTGGTACGTACCTCGACTTGGCGGCAAAACCACGACAACAACGGCTGGGAGCTTGCGTGGTTGCGTTACTTCGGTTTTGCGTTTGCCAGGCCTTTCTCCTCACGATTCGACAGCTCCTCTCAATTGTCTATTGACCAATCCTCCAATCAGGTAGGTGCTGAATGACGGAGTGCCAGAGTGCCAGAAACAACTGAGAGTGAAAGAGCTATGTCCGGGGGAGAACGGTGGGAAGGGGGAAGGTGGTAAGGTGGGCGGCGAGTCAAACACTCAATGGATTGGCTACTTGGCTCGTGCGATGTTGTTTGGTGACTTTTTGGTCAGGTACCTCGATCCAGCTGAGCGTGGGTGTGATGGATCATGGAAGAGAGTCTTAGGTCGGATCGATAGGTAGGTACCTAAGTGGCAGATGGCGTTGAGAACTTGAGACGCCTTTGATGGAGGGCGAGGTGTGAGGGCGTCTACGTCAGGCCCTCCTGTCAGGTGAACTGCGTAAAACGTACTTTGTAGTACCTAGATACCTAGCCCCAAGTGTTCTTGATGTGAGTGTGAGGTGAGGCAAGGCAAGGCAAGACAAGGAGGTAGTGTTCCGAGTTGGCGCGCAACGACGGCAACGTTAGCCCGAGTAATATGAGGGGGTAATCTGGAGACAATCGCGGTACAAGCAGAAGCAACGGGAACGTGCAACGGTGGAAAGCGGTCGAGGGCGGAAGAATGATGATAGCTGAAGAGGTAAAGTCGGGGCGCAGGGCGTGAGTATTCGGCGCTGGAATGGGTCAGGTCGACAATGGGTGCTATCTCCGCTTCCAGAAATGGGCTGCCTGCACCCATCCCGGATGACGGGAGTCGGGGGGCAGTGGCATAGGCAGTGCCAGGCAAATGGGCAATTGCCAATTGGGAGGGAAACTAAGTTACGGCGCTGTGTCCGTAAAGCAAGGTACACGTGAGACCTTCATGCCCCTCGTTTCTCGGAGGCCGACGAGATTGGTTCGATGGGGCCTGGCCTGCGTCAGGTTGCGACCCCAAGCCCAGAGTCCGGTCTCTTCCTTGGTGCTTGGTGTGCCCGAGCAACCTTTTTTCCATTAAATCATTGATTGTTCGTCGACGGCCGCTCGTCGCGGCCGGATGCTACTTTGCCTTTTCCCACATTTAATTGACAGAGGGGGGGAAAAGACACGGGAAGGGTAAGAAAGCCAGACTCAATCATTAAAACTGGCCAATTTGCTGCGGATGTATACGGCATTTTATACCCATGTGAACCTGCTCTCGTTTACGGCGGCATTTCCGCGCGGCATAGGCTCACAGCCCGTAATCCTCTAAGCCCCCCGAGGTGTACCGCTTACCGGATACTTGCGTGGTATTGCGGACGTGGATACTCTCTGGGACTTTGAACTTTCGTGAGATCCTCGGCTCGCGGTTGGCGTCTTTGTATGTGTCTCTCTGCTAAGGTGGCATACGTGCAGCGATATCGAAAAAACAGGGTCGAGGTGAGAAGCTCAACTCACCGACTTACATGGCAATCGGAAACCCACTGTGCTTTTCGGTTAACTCGTCTTCACCGCGACAGCCGGGCTGCCTCATTGGCCCACCGCCTGACCCCCAGCTGCATTCGCGCCTTGTAAGTCTAGAACACCGGGATGAGTCAAGTTGTGATTCGACGTGGCATCGCTACCGTAACGACTGCCGCGCACTTGTTCGCTTTGCTTCGAGAATGGCCTTCGTCGATGTTTCAACCCGCCTCAGAACACCGAGATGAATACCGGGCTTCGTGAGAACCTTGGTGGAACACACACCGCAACGCAGGCACCCAAGCGGATCACTCCTCTTTGCCTTGCTATTCCCAGAAATGACTGGAGATGACTCGGCCTCGACGTGGACACCTTTACGGCGCTGTTCCCTATGCTGAATCACGGTTACGTAGCCTGGTGGAGGTATCTCTCATGACGACTGGAGCAAATCTTTTTTTAATGTTGGGTGGCCCGCTTCGACGCTTCAACCACGCGGCTGAAGATGACGGGGTCGATGACTCTATCCAAGCCAACTAACTCCACACGCCCTGCCAAATGACCTCGCAACGCTCTTCACCACTTCACGATATGACTTGCCTGAGCAGGTCGGTGGGCGTGTCTCAGGGACGGACGGGAGGGTCAAGCGATCGGGAGGGAGGGGACGTTTTGTTTGTACGTCAAGTTCTTTTCATTGCTGACCAAGTGGTCCCTCTGGCAGCTGACCGAAGACCCGTTCCGTTATGGCCATCGTCAGGATGTAGGCACGATATCCGATTTTCCCAACACCGCCCGAAATGCAAAGCAGAAACCATCCACCGTTCGTAATCCCGTCCCTTAAACCTCAGCAATCTCTCTCAGACGACGGAGAGTGGAGCGCATGGCAGCAGCGGCGGGGGTGCTATTTGCAGTGTTAGCGTTCAGTTTCTAGTCCGACTTCTCTCCGTGTGTCAACATACGCGACAGTGTAGGCACCGCCAGCAACGGTCTTGTTGCAGCCTCTGCAGTTCCAGATGCCGGTGGAGTGGCGCTTGACGGTAGGCTTGCCGCAGAAGGTGCAGGTGTACTTGGCGTGCTGGGAGATTTCCATCTTCTTAACCTGCTTACGCAGGGAGGCACCGTAACGGGTACCGTACTTTCCGGTCACTCCGACCTTCTGTGAGGTTGTTAGAAATGTGTGGTTTCAATACTCTTGGTTCCTGGCTTATCGACGATCGCGTCAGAGGGCCGCCTGGCAGCAAATAGCACCCGGGCTGGGAGTCTAGACGAGAGAGAGGTTCGAGTTTTGGTCGAGATATTGCTCTTCATCGTGTACGAGTTTGAGATAGCTCAATTGTCGACGGTGAAGCACACCGAGCCTGCGGTGCACAGGCAAATCGGATGACTTTCGTGATCAATGATTGGTGGCATCTGCCTTCCTGGAGTCGGGAGTTTCGTCAAAGTTGGCGTCCATGGTCATTCGCTCTTCTCGTGTGTATCTCTCTCTCGTCATCGTCTCGCGTTGCGCTCGGGGATATTGCGTAGGCGGCCTGCATGTTCCTCCCTAACCCAACCACCAAACCGAGCCCGTGATGGATGCCACTGTCGCCAATGAGGGAAAATCGTGGGCCGGTTTCGACGCGGGGTAGGGAAGTCCAAGCAATGACGGGAAAGTCGATGAAGCCATTCGTCCTGGATGGGGTAGTAGAGCATTACGAACCTTCGTGCGCTTGGCCATTTTGTCGAATTTTGGGGGGGAACGGGTTCGTTGACTTGAAGTGCGACGAGTGGTGTTGACGGTTCCTCCAAGGCGGTTGAAATTTCTAAAGGATGGTGTTGAATTTTGTCAGGGCTTGCCGACTCCGTTTGTGCGCTGGGAAAGCGAGCACGGACCACAGTTGACGCGAAAAAAAGAATGCGGCAGAACTCCGGCAGTGGGGTTTACACCCGCCCTGACGCAACCCCTGGGTCCATTCTCAAATTCTCGCGAGTCGCCAGATCTTGACCCCATCAAGACACGTGATCCCACACCTGACAGCTGACCGCGGCTTACCTAACGTTTGACTTGGCGCATTGTTCAAGAGGTTGCACTGAAGGGCCTCTTCAAACGCCCGGGGAGGAGGCCGGGAGATCGGCGTCACAGCTGTCCGCTCGGCCCTTCTAAGCCGTAAGTGGAAAGCACAGCGCCCGGGTGGTTGTCACGAAGACGCTAGACCGCCGAGGCAGCGCGGACCAGATGCCTTGAACAGTTGGTATCGCCGTTTGCTACATCACAAAGTTTGCGCTCTCGACGGCCGCAGCGTGGAATGTGTCACCTCAATGGACAGCGAAACGGACACATTTTCGACGGATCATCGTGCATCTGTGAAAGGGGCCGGACATTGGTGCCACTTTTCGTGGCGTGCTGGGATATGTAAAGATGGCCGGTCGCCGCATGACTTTTGAGTGTAATCATTGATGTCTGAGACTCGTGCACCCTGACTCTTTTTTTCTCTTCAATCCTGCAACTGCCATTCCTTATTCTATCTCCCTTCGAGGCCAGACTTATTGTTGACAGGAGACATCGAGCAAGCGTCAGAGATGCCATTCAAGCAACACGACCGTCAGTACGACTTGGTCGTTTTTGGTGCTACCGGTGTGTATAAGTCGAGGATGCAGTGATGATGCAACCTAACGTCCAATTGCTGACAACTGCAAAAAGGCTACACCGGGACGTTCGTGGCAGAGCACATTACAACCCATCTGCCGACCAATTTAAAATGGGCAGTCGCAGGTCGATCGGAGACGAAGCTCCAAGGTCTTGTTGCCGAGTGCAAGAAGCAGAGTCCCGACAGATTGCAGCCTGGTACGTGAAAGGATTTTAGGCTATGCCGAGATCAGATGCGGGTCTGATCTTCACCAATGAAGTGACTGTCTCGGCGTCTTGCATTTTCAATCGTGCTAGCAATGGATGAGGCTACTACGTGCTGGAGATGTCAAGTCGAGAAACAACCTGTATTGGAGGGGGGAAGTGGTGACAAGCTGCTCGAGAGAGGGGCTGGATCTGTTATGCAGGCCTAGCCAAATAAGTCATCACTCAGCAGTACTGACCAATTTCACAGAAATCGAAATCTCCGGCCTCAACCACGAGGATCTTGAGGCGCTCGCCAAAAAGACATATATTCTCATCACCACCGTCGGCCCGTATGCAAAATATGGCGAGTTTGCCTTCCGAGCCTGCGCCGAGAACGGCACGCATTATCTCGACGTTACCGGCGAGACCCCTTGGACCGGCACAATGATTGGCAAATATGAGAATGCGGCACAAGAAACAGGCGCCATGATGTTTCCTCAGATTGGAATCGAATCGGCACCGCCAGACCTCGTCACCTGGTCGTTGGCC